TAGGCATCGGAGGGCCTTTGGCCAACACCCCCCGGGTGTGGTCCTCTTATTGGTTCTATTTTGCAGGGAGAAAGAGGCGGCGAAGAAGAAAATGGAATCTTTCCAATCGAATATTCTCGTGAGGAAATTTGCTCCCACAATGTTCATTTGATTTGTCAACAAAGGCAATTCAACACTAGTTCATGATTCTATTAATTTGTGGTAGAAATATACTGTTATTTCTTTATTTACTTTAATCAGAGGCCACCTTTTCTCTTTTAACTTTCTTTTACATATTATTGAACATTGATGAAAGAGAGATGCTTTCTGTATAAGCTTCTAAGTTGAGCTTTAATTTTCATTTCAAGCCAAATGGAGGTTTCACAAAAGATGCCTCAGGTGACTAATTCCTAGCCCAATCTTCACCATACACATGTTTTGTTCGTTTGATTTATGTTTTTTTGTTTGTTCTGTATCTCGCATATGCTCATTTCTCTTCAATAAAATATATGGGGTTTGAGAACAAAGGAAAACGTAGACCCCTAATCCTGCTCCTCCAGTTGAAGATATTGATCCTAACCCATTTCTGCAAATATTGGCCTCATTCGATAAACAAGATGCATGATTTAAACCATTTGATGAACATAAAGGTAGTTGCAAACCGATTAATTTGTCAAAATCAAAAGAAAGCACAATCCCGGTGAAAAGAAAAACACTTAGCGATTAAAAAAAGTAAAAGTAGCATTATAATTCTACAATAAATACAAGTGTCACTCATAGCTATGGAAACAAATAACATCAATGAGGAGAAAAAAATCCAAGAACAAGTATTCATCAATCCAAAATCCACATCATTATAGAGATGTGGCCTATCGCAAAGGTACAGTCTACAAAATAACTAGTCTATCTTCACTTGCAGTGTAAAGATTTGAGGGTCTTAGCTGCTACATCAAAAGCTATGGTGCAGTTCATGTTGGTGGCCTTCTTCTTCTTCATGATGAACATAATTGCAACTTTTCCATTCAATCTTCCTACACTGTTGAGCGTCAACACCCCGTTGCTCAATTCGTTTCCAAGATTTGAACCAGTTATTGCACTTGAATCCAAACTCACATTCGCATTTCTTTTTATGGTCGAAAGCCATCCAACCTTGCCCTTTGCGATATTAATTACTCCCACAGTCTGGCCTTGGTGTTGAAACGTGACATTTCCAGCATCGAACTTGTAGGAACCCCAGTTGGCTGAGTTCTTGATCCTGATTTGGGTTGTGAATTTCAAGTCGAATGAAGGCGTTGATTCCAAGCTTTGGACGTTGATGTTGCCTAGCCTGAACTTGGGGGTCTTTACTTTCATGACAGTGAGACTCATTGTGGTGATAACTATGATCTGAAACACAACAAAAATAGTAATATATATGGCCAATTTGATTTTCTTCTTGCGTTTCAGCTCATCAGCATTTTCCAAAGACTCTGCGTCACTTCTTTGGTAACCGTGGTTTGCCGGGGCTGCAGGATAAGCCTTCTCAGCCATGTTTCTTAGTTTTTCTTTTTTCTGATATGAGTGAAAAGGAAATTGAGGACTTGGGTTTTGTAGGATATGAAACTTGGAAATGCAGGGAGTTGTTAATGGAAATGATGGAAGAGTAGTCTGTTATTTATAGTGTGTGGGGAATTTGGCCAATTTCAATAAGTTTGTGGTGGAATGAATTTCCTGGAAAATGTGAGTTTCAGGGGAAGAATTTTGCACACGCCATACGCGTCCAAATGTGGAAATTTTTGACTTCTAGATGATGGATGACTTTGTTGAGGAGCTTTTAGGCTTTTTGCTTTGAGTAGATGGACATATTAATTAAATATCAATAGAAGCTTCTGATGATAGATGAAATGTTCTAATACGGGTGAGAACATGCTGACTACATGTTACTGCTCCCTTGTTCCTTAGTGATTAGAGCACTTCCACCAGTTAGCCCCTTGCCATGGCAAGGGGAGCCCTATGGCGGGTACTATTCACGTGAATAGTGCCTGCCCTAGGGCAAAAAAAAAAGTTGTGTTTCCAGCAATGCAAGGCTTGACATGGCAAATACTATTCATTTTTTTATTTTTTTCACAACTTTGTTTACTTAAACAATTAATTTGAATAATATTTTCGGATAAGATTTTTGGGTTCCTATGTGTCAATACTATTCATATCGGATCAGATTTTCGGTTTCAAATTTCAGATAAATTTCAGATAAATTTCAGATAAATTTCAAATAAATTTCAAATTTCAGACCTACCTCCGCAGTGGAAAATCTGTACACCAGGGACTACCTCCGCAGACCTACGCCCAGGTACCTGCAACGGCTTCTACAAAAAACTGAGTCTCGTGGATTTCCTGGAATGATTGGTAGCATTGACTGCATGCACTGGCACCAGTTTCACTAGAAGAACCCATAATATGATAGAGAGAAAAATAACTTGAAAGAGAGAAAAAAAACAACTTGAAAGTGAAAAAAAATTGACTAGAAAGTGAAAAATAGTAGAATGAGAAGAAAATTTATGAAGAGTTGGTGTTAAAAGTGAAGAGTATTGGTTGGTATTTATAGAAAAAAAATTCAGTATTTTTTTCGTATTTTTTTAAATTTTTTCCGATTTTTTTTCTTTTTTTTTTTTTGCCAAAAAATTGTCTGCCGTTGGATTGCTGGAAAAAACCAATCGGAGCGCCCAGAATGTCCCAGCATGCGACACGTGTAATCATACCGTTGGGCTGGTACTGTAGCGCGCGTCAAATTTTTTTTAAACTAGGCGCGTGTATTGCACGCGCCAGCTTTAAAAAAATTTAAACAGCTGCGCTGACGTCATCCCAGCCAGCAGGCTGGAGCTCGGGCCAGCCTCCCCCTCGGGCTTGCCCAGGTTTGTGGGCCCCACTGTTTGCCCTGGCAGCTTCTTGTTACTGGAAACGACATTTTGGGTTCCCCCCAACCCTCCCCTTGGGCCCTTTGCTGCCAATGCTCTAAAAGCCCCCCGTTTCTGCCTATTGTATCTTTTAGCTAGGAACCGCAGCTGGGTTCGGCAAGAGGGCTAGGAAGCAAGGGTAAGCCGCGTCTTGTGTTCAGCTAGACCTTCGGTGGGTATTATTTGGAGCTGGGAATTGGGTATTCAGCAAGATTTGGAGTTTTGGCATAGTTTAGAGCTGAGCTTCGGGCAAGGCAAGAGTTTGATATTGAGCCCGGTGTTTCCCCTTCTTCCAGGTGTCTTTTTTGGATCTGGGTTTAGTCGCTCTAATCCAGGACAAGAAAAGTCTACATTTTGTTCGAGGAGGACCTAAGCTCAAATATCTGGGAAAAGAGTTGTCGAATCCGGAGAAAAACATTTGATTGTGGTTTGCGTTTCTTCGCCCACAATCTATCATTTCCACGGCCAAATGCTCATATAGAGTTGCATCCTTGCTCCTTGTATCCTTCTCCATTAATTCTTGAACCACATTTACCTTTTGTTTCTTCTTCAGTTGGTAAAAGACCTTTGTCCTCCCTATTCTCACTAGAAGTAGGTGCACTTTCTTCTCTTGTCCGGATATTCTCTTCTTTGGGTTCGAAGTCCTCTCTCCACCATTCATAAAATTAAAATAGGTTTTTGATCACAAAACATTCCTGATGTTTGCGAAATTATAAGATTGCATCCTTAAAGTTTTTTTGTATTATTCATGGTCCTTAACGTTAATATAGGTGCTCTTAAATAATCTCTCTGTCAAAAAGAATGTTAACTTCAGAGATATAATCGTCAAATCAATCCAAAATTATAATATATATATATATATAAGTCTTCTCTCTCCCCTCTTTCTTTTCTGTTTCCTCTCTTTCTCTCTCTCTCTCTCTCTCTCTCTCTCTCTCTTTGAACTTCCGGCTGTAGCTGCTCTGCAACACCACATTGTCTTGCTCAGAATAATTTGAACCATTTGAGGGCCACTTTTACTGGTAAGTTTCGTTTTTCTAATAACTATGTATAGTTTTGAGCTTTTTTTTCCTCTTTCTGAAAGATCAAATTTTTAGGGGTATAAAACAATTTGAATTCATGCTTGTTGCTGGGTTTCTTTTATTTTTCTCATTTCCTTCCTAAATTGTAGCCCATGACATGTCTCTTTTGTGGAGTAGTTATTCATTGTTAGTCCACGACAAATTTTATTTTTTTCTTCATTGATTTAGCGTTCACTATCTTCAGTTAAACTATATATTTTGATCATTCCCTCTTTTTTTTTCCAACTTTATATTGGAGTTTAAGGAACTATTTCACCTTTTCTCTTTTATTTTTTTATCTGCTTTTTTCGGACTTGAACTGCGTAATGCATTATAAGGACATATTTTGCCTCTTTTTTCTTGTAGATGACAGTATGAATTGCAACAAATATTTGATTAAAAGTTTTTTTTTTTTTTTTTGGCTGTTTGTTTGGCTGAAGGCTACATAAGCTGGAATACTTCTTGTGTTTCCTAAAAAATGGCAATGAAGCAATCAAATAACATATGGATTCGACGCCAACAGTGCCCGTGTGGAGATTGGAAGTGTTACATTCATTATGAAGTAGATGATCTGGGCTCAGTAAGTTCTCAGCATGTAAAGAGTGAGACAACTCCATCTTCGTCATCATCAGAAGCTGTCTTCACTCCATATGTTGGTCAAATTTTCAAAACTGATGATGATGCTTTTGAATACTACAGCAATTTTGCCCGGAAGAATGGGTTTTCAATTAGGAAAGCACGCTCAACCAAAAGTCAAAACTTAGGGATATATAGACGAGATTTTGTTTGTTATCGGTCAGGATTTAATCAACCAAGAAAAAAGGCCAACGTGGAGCATCTAGGGAGAGAAAATCAGTACGATGCGGATGCGATGCAAAGTTGTATTTGACAAAGGAAATTATAAAATATATATATATTTTTTATAATTTTGGATTGATTTGACGATTATGTCCTTGAATTTAACAGTTTTTTTGATAGATGAATTATTTAAGAGCACCTATATTAACATTAGAGACTGAGTGATACAAAAAAAACTTTAAAGATGCAATCTGATAGTTTCGCAACGTCAGGGACGTTTTGTAATAAAAAGCCATTAAAATATAATGATGTATAACATATGGCGGAAGCAATCTAAGAGGAGCAAGAGTCACACGCGCACAAGGGCAAATCGGTAAACTGTAGATTTGGGCTCCCGTTTTTAGAGTTTTTGAAAACTTTGTTATTTCTAAGGTTTCTATGAATATTTAAGCATACTTTACCCGTCGTATGTTTTGTTATTCCAATTTTATCAATAAATCTTGAAATTTCCTCATATCTTCTTTGTGGATTACAAAATTACATGTTTTAGGCTAAGATATAGCCAATCAATTGTCACGCTACGTGATAAAATATGTGAGCTGACTCTAGATGCTTATTTACATTACATGTGACCTAATAATTAAAAGATGACAAACGAATTAGCACATTTTGTATGTTGAGTATAATTGAAACATAGTGCTTTAATCATTAATTCGTGGAGGGCATGTCGTGTAATGGACATTGAAACTTTTTCATTGTTTATTGGACCTTTACTTGGGCCCATACCTCTCAACCCTCTCATCAATCCACTCCCTCATATCCCTCAACACAATGTCCGCATTCTCATCGGGCTCCCCTTGTATCAAGGAATGGTACATCCCATCGTAAATCTTCAAGGTCTTGTCAACACTCGATGCCTTTTCGTACAACAGCTTGGACGACGACGGACACGTCACCCCGTCCGCCGTCCCGTGCACTGTCAAAAACGGAGTCGTGACGCGCGAGAAGTTGTCCTGTATGTACTGGCACACCCTCGCGATCTCCCTCATGGTCCCCACCCTAGGTGGGCCCGTGTATCTCCTCGGATTCGAGGCTATGATCCTCAGCTTCGCGGGGTCCTTGATCGCTTTTCCGACCATCTTGTTGTCCGGCATAGCCGCCCACGTGTCGGCGATCCCGAATAGGAGGCCGTACAGGAACAGGTGGACCTTGCTGGGCTTCATGTTCTCTGGGATGACGAAGAGCGGCGCGGAGAAGATCAGGCCCGTCCACGTGTCGGGCGGGGACTGGAAGTACATGAGCATGGTGGCAGCGCCGCCCATGGACTCGCCGAAGAGGAAGGCAGGGAGGTGGAGGTATAATTCGTTGCGGCGCACGTGGAGGAAGAAGGAGAGTGACGTGGCGGCAACTTTCTCCATGTCGCCAAGGTAGCAGCGGAGGCCGTCGGATCGCCCGTGGCCAAGGAGATCGGCGGCGAAGACGGCGTAGCCCCAAGTGGCGTAGTGGATGCATATTTTCTGGAAGAGCCAGCCGGTGTCGGATCCGTAGCCGTGGGTCATGAAGACAGTGCCTTTGACTGTTTGATCCAACGGCAAGAAGCTCTGAGTGAAGATCTGGCCGTTAGGGGTCTGGAAGAATGATTTGGCGTTGCGCACGCCTTGGGAGGTGTAGTAGTCCTCCTCTAGCATGTCGCCCCAGAAATTAGGAGGCGTTTCGGTCGCCATCAGGGATGGAGCCGGAATTTCAATATGGTGGGTCTAAATTTATCTTATCGGACAGACCTATGGAAAAAGTGAATTTCAGTGATGGCAAAAACTAGACATAATTGATGATTCATCATTATATCATTATTTCTCTTAAAAACTTCTCGAAGAGTCTTTGATCTCTTAACATTTCGATGTTGTTAATGTTGGCGCGACATTATATAGTATAACGTATTGAATAATATATGAAAAATGTAAACATATAAACTAACAAAAAATCCAATAAAAACATACTTAAATAGTTAAATATCTAATCAAAATCAGAACACCAAAATCAATTTCAACTCATAATGAATTATCAAAATCCCTAATGAATAATTCATACAAGCAAGAACACCAAAATCAATTTCAACTCATAAACTTCAATTGTAAATAACTAATCATAAACCATAAATATTCCCCAAAATTTCAACATTAAAAAAAATAAAATAAAAAATAAAAAAAAGCAGATGATGAATGAAAGATTACCTTAATTTGCTTCAATTAAGATAGGCAGCAAGCATGGGTTGGAAATGATGGTTTGCTGCTGCGCAAGAGAGAGGGGGAATTTTTTCTTCCAAACAAAAAGGGAGAGAAAGGGAATTCCCGTCGTTAGCCTAGTCGCGAAGAGCGGGGTTGGATTTGGATGCGGAGGAAAAATGGAAGCGGATTTTTAAAGGGAGAGAGTTGGTGGATTTGCTGTGAGTGCGGTTGGTGGGGGGTTGGTGGATTGCCTTTGATGAGGTCGACTATTACTAGAATTGTGTTGACGCGTGAACACTTTTTTATTTTAAATTTGTTTATTGAATCCTGATGTCTTTGTTGTGTTGTTAGCGTCACGCAATCATGATAGATACCTCTACTCTGCGTCAATCACAACTACACAATTTGGGTTCAGGCACCATTTTTATTTGTGCTCTTAATTTCTAAGGACACAAAACCCATATAATTGTGCTTTATAAAATCAAAGACCACGATGCTATGCAGCTGCTTTTAAGTTGACAATTTGCTCTGCAGCCACTTTTAAGTTGATGGTTTGCTATATGGATAGGAGTTTCACACTAAGTTGTCATTTGTGGTCATTTGTGTCAGACACGACAGAGCACGAAAAGAGGCATTTGTGCTTGTATTCTGAGAGGGTAATGACCATTCATTCTGGTAAGCTATAACTTACATATAGTGTAAGAGTAATTCCACCCATTTATTCTTTGTCATGGCAAGAGGGGGTTTAGGGCAGTCACTATTCACGTTTGTCCTTTGTCATGGTAAGAAGGGGGGCTAGAGCAGCCACTATTCACGTGAATAGTAGTTGCCGTTGCAAAAAAGCATTTTTTGCTTCCACCCGTTGTCATGGCAAATGACAATTACTATTCTTTTTTTTTGTTTTTTTCACTGTTTTTTTTATCTCAATAATTAATCTGGATAATATTTTCGGATAAGATTTTCGGATTTCTACGTGTCAAGACTATTCATAATCGGATAAAATTTCCGGATAAGATTTTTGGGTTCAAATTTCGGATGAATTTCCAATTTCAAATTTCAAATTTTGGATGAATTTCAAAATCCAAATTTCAGACAAATTTCAAGTTTAAAATTTCGGATGAATTTCAAATTTCAGATAAGATTTTCATCCTATCAAATCAAGCCACGTGGCATCTCTATCTGGCTAAAATTTTCAATAAAACCAGAGGCTCAGCTCATTACCTCTCACACCATATCGTTCTATATTTTCATTTCTCATAGTTTAGAATTCATACTCCATTCTCAATGGAAGATTGGAGGAGATGCTTGGAGAGGCAAGAGCGAGAAACAAATGAAAGAAGCCGTAGACGAGTTGAAAGGCAAAGGTTGCAGAGAGAAGAAGATGAACAAGTTGTCATAGCAGTAGCTTTGCTAGATAAAGAGAACCAAGGTCGCAGTCGTGGTTCACAAGTCGGCCGTGGCCCGAATGTGGACAGACATAGGCATTCTCGGGGTAATAATCTTTTGGAAGATTATTTTATCCCAACTTCTTTGTACTCTGATGTTGATTTTCGAAGGAGATATAGAATGCAACCTCATTTGTTCAATAAAGTCATGCATGATATTTGCAATTATAATGCATACTTTGTTCAAAAGTGTGAAGCTGCTGGGGTTTTGGGACTTTTTCCAGAGCAAAAGCTTACAGCTGTTATACGAATGTTGGTGTATGGTTCATCTGCTGATCAGGTGGATGAGATGGCCCGGATGGGGAAGTCCACTACGTTGGAGGCCTTAGTAAGATTTTGTGATGCAGTCGAAACTCTGTACACTAGGGACTACCTGCGCAGACCCACTCCCAGGGACCTCCAACGGCTTCTACAAAAAGCCGAAGCTCGAGGTTTTTCAAGAATGATTGGTAACATCGACTGCATGCACTGGTAATGGAAGAATTGCCCAACTGAGATTACGGGAATATAAAAGGCCAAAAAAGTATCATCCTTGAAGCCGTTGCTGGCTTTGACACATGAGTTTAGCATGCCTTCTTCGGAGTTGCCGGATCCCAAAATGACCTCTACGTGCTGGGTCAATCCCCGGTCTTCAACGATGTTTTGAAAGGTACAGGCCCGAATATCACATATCAAATCAATAATACAATGTACCAGATGGGGTATTAACTAGCTGACGACATCTACCCGCGGTGGACCACATTTGTCAAATCCATTCCCAATCCCTAATCCTAGAAGCAAAAATTATTTGCTTCCTATCAAGAAGGATACATGAAAGATGTGAAAGGTGTTTTGGCATCCTCCAAGCTCGATGGTTGATTATTCGAGGTGCAGCGCGTATGTTTGATGAGGAGGTCCTGAGAAGCATTATGATGACTTGCATCATCCTTCATAATATGATTGTGGAGGATGAGTATGATTACGATGCTGCAGAGGTCTACGAACCATATTCTATGAACACGGCCTTGACACGAATTTATGAAAGGCCCATGGGGCCAAGTGGAGAACCGTTTGAGCCGAATCCGTTGGTTAGGGATGGTCATTTCATGAACCGTATGATAGATCGATATACAAAGATGCAATCTTCGTATATTCATGAAAGGCGTCAACTTGACTTGATGGAGTATTATTATTATTGTGCTTTGGTTGTAGTTTTTTTAATTTTATTATTATGCTTTGATTGTGGTTTTTCCTTTTAATTATGTTTTGTTTGATGTATGGAATATGTTGAATTAAAAGGTATTTATTGAATGCTTTGTTTATTAAATAAAGAAAGCCAATACAAGTCATTAAGAATTACTACTACTAAAATAAAATATATGAATTACAACAACTTTAATACAAAACATGAAAAATAAAAATAAATAAAAGGTATGCCAACTAATTTAATGGTTTTGATCATTTAACCAATCCGTGTTGCTAGGCCCATCGTCACGGAAAAGTTTTCTTCTCATAATATCCTTTCGTTCTAACTTCCAAAATTATTTTGTTTTAGGGGACATATGGCTTGTACCCAAAGCCATGGTTTCCCGATCCTTCTTGTCAATGATTTCTTTGCCCAAAAACTCCATTTCTTGAAGATTTTCTGCTCGAATTGCCATCTTGTTCTCTTGGTGTTTCCGCTCCATTTCAATTCTTATGTCACTCTGCCTTTCAATTTCCTCCAAAATTTTTGATGTATTACTGCTAAAATTACTCTCTTTCTTCGCCTTCGCAGCCTTTCGACCAATGGGCCTCGGCTCCTTTTCGATGAGTGAGTCTTGACTCATAGGAGAATCGAGAAGTGAATCTGATGTCGTTGAATCATGGAGTGGCGTCTCGTTTAACATACGGCAGGACCCTTGGGAATAATTCTGAAGCGTTTGCAAATTTTCACCACCTCCCAATATTCATGATGGTTGAAATTATTTTTGCCTTACCCAATTGCACCAAACCACATATGTGCTTGAATCATCTATTAACAAAAAAAATATAATGGAAATGCAAGAAATATTTAAAATATATTGGATATGCAAGTAATATAAAAAAAATATGGAAATGCAATTAACCTTACAAATATATTGGAAATGCAACAAATATTAACAAAATATTATTTATGCAAGAAATATTAAGAAACAGTTGGAAATGCAAGAAATATTAACAAAATATTGAAAATGCAAGAAACAATAAAATATATATATATATATATATTAGGACATTCAATTTAATAAAACGAAAATTACAAAATACTTACCTCGCTACTAAGATTTTCCCCGCTTCTATGGTTGTCTCTCGCTTTTGCCAAGCCATCTCTCCATTTTTCCAACTCTTTATTGAGAATTTTCCACCTACTAAACAATGTCATTTCCGTACGAGTTGACCCCGGAATTCTTTCACAAAATTCGACCTGAATTTTTTTCCACATATGACAAAATTTCATCTCATTGCCTGACACGAGACAATGACAAATTTGGAGCCAAGACTTAGACAAGAAAACATCTTCTATGGTGCTCCACACCCCTCCGGTTTCGATAGAAGAAGCCATAAATTTAAGAAATAAAAATACAATTTGAAAAAGAAGAAAATGTTGAGTAAATAGTGAATAATAGTAGAAGTAGAAGAAAATGTACGAGGATTGGTGCTGAAAGTGAAGGGTATTGATAGGTATTTATAGAAAGAAAAAAAATTCAGAATTTTTTGGTTTTTTTTAAAAAAAAATTCTATTTTTTTTCATAATTTTATTGCCAAAGAAATGTCAGCGGTTGGATTGGAGGAGGAGAAGCAGATCGGAGTGCTCAGGCCTTGACACATGTCTTCTAGTAGTTGGAGATTGCGCAGGGCTAATGTCAACGCATGTGAGTCCAAATTTTTTTTACCTTTGGTGCTTGCATTGCAAGCGCCAAAAGTAAAAAAATTTAAAACTGCGCGATGACGTCCCGCCTGACGTCATCCCCCCTCGGGCGAAACTGGCCTTCGGGCCAGCCCGTCTTCGGGGGTCCCACTTCCAGCCTAAGCAAGACTGGCCCGCTGGAACCTGGTTTTTCGCGCAGCCCCCTCCCCCAGGCTCGGGCTTGGGCTGCTCAATGGAATGGCTCTAAGTGGATGAAATTAAAGTGGGGAAATCACCACTTATTCTAATAAGCTATAACTTAGCAAATTTATCAGTTGATTAGACATAAATCAACATAAAATCGAATACCGAATATTTTATTAAAAGAGAAATTTGAAACCCAAGCGCTCGCACCTTGGGCTGGATTCCACCCATTCAGAAGTTACACCTAAATGCAAATATAAAACAAATTACGAATAAATCAACATAAAATCGAATTACAAATTGAGAAAATTAGCATATCAGGTGCTCCAAATAGCTTACAAATGCAATGACCCAATTGTTTACAAGAGCCAAACATTTATTCTATGAAATACAACAACAAACACTTAAATGGGTGTATTCAATTAGGATTTTAATAGTTTTTTTAAAGCTTAAAAGTCTAGTGGTATTCAATTATGATTTTTAAGTAATCAATAAAAATCTGAGGGTATTCAATTAGGATTTTAAAATCATTAATGCAAGCCTGGTGGTATTCAATTAGAACTTTTAAAAAATTAGAAAAAGTACGGTGGTTTTCAAAAACTTACCGATTTTAAGGTATTTCATTAAATGATGTATTGTGTGAGACTTTTGAGTGGGTGATATAAATACCAAACCCCATAAAAAATCTCACCCTATTATATCTGATTCTCACGTTGATTTCTTTTGGGAGAA